AGGTCGAACCTGCCAACTCAAGGGTGCTCTTATGTCCTGTCTTTCCCATCTAATGTTTTCGCGGTTTCTCGGGCCATGGGCCATGTTGCCTTCGGAATATTGCGTCCTCCCTCTCAGCTGCCCTGTCCAATCAACTCCGACTGTACTGGTTTCGCTTCCCGCGCCTCCCCAGTCGACCTCCCCTTTGCGCCATGCGGCAGCGGGGCCAGCCATAGTGCGGCCCGACGCCGCTGGAGAAGCGCCCGGCCAAGACGAGGCTAGACTTCCGACGCAGTTTCTTATCCGTTGTTGAGTTGCCCACGAGTGTTTAAAATCTGGGGCCGTTTCTGGTTTCAGGGGCCGCCCAACAAACGACCCATGATCAAATGCTGGTCCCAACGAATTAACTTGTCCAGACTTCAGAAGAGGACCAGCGTCGGGAAAAATCTTAAACGCCCCGAGAAGCAGCTGGGAGCCCCAAAAAAAACCCAAGACACCCCACGAGGGCTCCAAGGAACTTTCGGGAAAAAAGAAGAGCAAAACAAACAGACTCGAAGAGGCACCCCAAAGCTTTCTAGTTTTTCTGTTCGCCCTCCTCCTCGTCCTCCTCCTCCTTTTCCTCCTCCTCCGCCTCCTCCTCCGCCTCCTCCTCCTCCTCTTTCCGCTCCTCCTCCCCCGCATCGTCCTCATCCGCCTACTCCTCCTGCTTCCTCCTTCCTCCTCCCTTATCCCCCTCCCCCTCCCCCTCTCCCTCCTCCTCCTCCTCCTCCTCCTCCTCGTCCTCCTCCTCTTCCTCGTCTTCGTCCTCCTCCTCGTCCTCCTCCTCGTCCTCCTCTTCGTCCTCCTCCTTTTCTTCCTCCTCCTCCGCCTCCTCCTGTTCCTCCTCATCCTCTCCTCCGGTTCCTTTTCCACCTCAAGTTTTGAAGTGCGATGGTTTACCCAACCCTTGATTACAGCGCATGCTCTTCCACATCCCTGATCAGGGCAACTTGCCGCTCCTCGGGGCATCGTTTCTGGATGGGCTGGTGGGGATGCGCGAAGTGCCTGCAATGTCCGAATCATTCCCGAAGATTCCACAGCAATCTCAATAATTCCAACTCTTCGGAAGTCCCGCGGGTTCCTTGTGGATTCCTCTATTTTCCCGATGGGTTCAGGGACCTTCCTGAACAACAATCCGGACAAAAATTCCTCGGGGATTCCTGGAGGATTGCTGGTGGATTCTTAAAGAAGGACTGAAGATCGCACATGGATTTCTGAAGTCCCATGAAGGGCCCTTCCTTGTGGCTTCTGAACGATGCTTGCAAGTTGTCAAACAGTCCCCCAAGAGTTCCTTCACATATCAAAAGATCCCGGGGGGAGGCGTGAAATTTCTTCAGAACTCCCTACAAGAATCCGTGGACGATTCCTGCTGAATTTCTGGGCTCCCGCGCGATTCTTTGGCTTCCGAAGTGTCCCCGAGGATTCCGATGAACTCCTGAAGACTTCTGAGGGGCCCGGAGGGGTCCTTGAAAGTTCCCGCATGGCTCTTAAGATTCCTGCAGGTATTCTCGGAAGGATTCCTCAGGACGCACGACGAATTCTTGAATTCCTGACAGCCCGCGGGGTTCCTGAAGATCGCTGGGAGGCTCCTGGGAATGTCTGTGGGCTCCCGAGGATGGGCCACTGAGGACCCAGGCGGACTCCTGAAGGGTCCCTGAAGACTCCTGGGGATCCCCGATGGAATCCTCCTCGACGATTCCTGAAGGACCCCTGGAAGATTTCCTGAAACATGTCCTGAAATAGCCCTAGGGGCCCTCGGGCCCCTGGGGATTTCTGGTGATTCCTTGAGATCCCCGAGGAATCCGCAAGCGTATTCTCTCCCGCTTGGCGAGACCCCTAAGGATTTCCTGTGGATTCGCAAAGCTCCCTGCGGATGTCTCACGGATCCTAAGATTCCACACGGTCCCATAAGAGTTTCTGACAGATTCCTGCGCTTTCCTGAGATCTTTGAGGAATCCGAGGGAGCCTTTTGATTTCTCAATAGTCTTACGAAGAATGCAAAAAAAGAGGCCCCCTAAAGATTCCTGCCGTTTCGGCAAAGGTCCCTGAGGGTTTCCTCAAAATCCCTCTGGATCCCCAAAGATGCCGATAACTGCAAGATTCCTCCGGGTTACTGTGCGATTCCTGAAGGCCCCGGAGGATTCGGGGCGATTCGAGGAGTCCCGAGGATCCATGCGGACTCCTGTCGGCCTCCGAGGATTCCCAGGGAGGTCCCTGTCGGTTCCTGAACGATGACCCCAGAAGATTGTTCATGGCTTCCGCATCAAATGTGTGATACAGGCTACTTCGGAACATCCTGGACTCCTGGAACACCTTCCAGGGCCGTCTCGGGGGCGGCCTAAAGTATCTGAACGCTGTCGAGGAGCACCTTGAACCAACGCGGGTCGGCCATGGGAAATTCGGAGTTCAAGCGCCGCCGGGCAGTGAACAGTGGAGATTCCACGCGGCGCGCGCTGATGAGCTGATGACCGAGTGGCCTCCCTTGAAGGGCGCGATTTGGATGCTCACTGCCGCGATGATGTCGCCGCCGCTGTTCCGTTGTTCCTACCCGTCGGGCCCTCGCCCGTTGCCGCTAGTTTTCTTACCCCCTTACCCCGTTGGGATCGCAACCGCGCCCGCTGGGATCTGACCGCGGCAGCCCAGGGCGGCCAGGGGCCCGAGGTCCACGGCCGCAGGCGCGCGGGCCTGGCCTGGCACGCAAACCCCACAGCCTAAAGAGCCCGCGGCACGGGCCCGATGGCCACGTCGCACTGCAAGGCCCAGGCCCCGGACCCGGGGCCCAACACCAAACCCCGCGCCCAGAGACCCTGGCCCCTGGCCCTGGCGCTCGCACCCGGCCTGGCCCGCGAGACCGCAAGCTCCGGGCAGGGCGACGGCGGCGCGGGGGCCCGAGTCCCAGGCCCCCGGGCCCTCGGCCGACGCTGCGCCCGACGGGGACCTCGGGGTCCCACGTCGATCGGGCCCCGTGCCCCTGTGCCACGGAAAGCTGAAGCTCAGGCCCTCGCCGCGCTGAAGCTCGGGCCCTGTGTGGGGGCGGGGGCCCTGTGTGTCGCCGCCCTGTGTGGGGGCGGGGGCCCTCGCCGCGCTGAAGAAGCTCAGGCGCTCCGCGCGCGAAGTCCTCTGCGGACGGACCCCGTGGGGGCGGGCGGCGGCGCAGGCCCCGCAGCTCCCAGGGGGCCGCCCCCCCGGTTTGAGCACCGGGCTCTCCTCCGGCCTTCCCTCCGCCCAGGTCCGCTTTCGCGAGCGGGGGCCCGATTGGCAGGCCGATGGCTTCCCTTGGCTGCTTCGCCGCGGGCGCTCTCGACTCGGCAGCCGCTTCGGCTTTCCGCTGGGCGGCCACAAGCGCGCCGGCCATCATCTCCGCCATTTCCCCTGGCAGGTCTCCCAGCGAGTTCTGCGACACAGTCGTCAATCGGCACTGACGTCGGCGATGGTTCCTGAACCGACATCGGGGATGACCCGAGACCACGGGCCTCGGAATTACCGCCCAAGCGAGACTCATCGGCCGTTGCCTGGTCTAGGCGGGAAGTCAAGCCCTTCCGACGAGACGGGTGTGTGATCGCCCGTTCGTTTTACCCAACTCGGGAGACATCATGCAGGCTTGATGGACGCCGGGCGGCAATTGTTTTAGGGGGCCAGATGCGAACCCTACCCCTACCCCCCACGATTTCTGAGGGGGAGGGTGGGGCTCACTTCGTTCGGGAGCTCCCGAGCGAAGTGAACCCCACCCTCCCCCTCAGAAATCGTGGGGGGTCCCAGACCCCCGGCGTCGTGATTTTTCCACAACGTCGACCCCCAGCGGTCTGGACCCTTTCCCCGGGACCGGTTTCTCATCCTGAGTCGTTTTTTGACGGTCCCGAGGCCCGGGAAGGGCCCCCAGAGGCCGAAAATAACGAAAAACCTCCCGTCGTGTTTTTTTCACAGCGCGAGGGGGTCTGGGGTCTGGGGTAGGGTTCGCATCTGGCCCCCTAGGTTTCTCGCCCAAGTTTCTCAACCCCTGTCGTTCGGCGTTGGCCCCCGCCCCGCCTGCGCCCCCGCGTGGCGCGTCGCAGGCGGCCAGGGCCTCGTTCCGCGACGGCGCACTTCCCAGGGGACAGCGGAGGGCTCTTGGCTGAGATTCTTCGAAGAAGGCGAATCGGAGCCCCTAGCGCAGTCAGGGGACTGGCGTTCGAAGGCGATCTTTCGGACTCGTTTCGAGCCGTCGCGTTGCTCTTCATTACTTGGTGTGGCCACCTTCGAAACAGAAAGCACAGCTTCGTAGTCTCGTGGTGAAAATTCCGGCTGGTAGCAAGCATGTTTGCCAACTTGTCATGGACTCGGGCATGATGTCGATCTTGTCCGAAGGTTCTTGGTCCGAATGTCTTTGTGCATGATCTTCTAGAAGTGGTCCCAGGTTCCGATACGTAGTGGATGCACTTGATGCCATGACAAGAGTGTCCGTTAAGCGTGAGCGTAATAGCCGGCCGAAAGGATGGAGGCTGGACGCGCGCACTTAAAAACAACTGAGCACTAAGTAACTGCAAAACAGTGATGATAAGATGGCTCCACCAACCCTCACTTGGAGGGTAAGGCGGAGCGGCAAAAGATATCGAGGGGAGCGTAAGTAATGACTCATTCCTTTGTAACGGATCAAAGTACGAGCCCCAAGAGGAAACTTTTAACTGAACAAAACACAAGGTGCATCGGAGAGGGGCATCAACAATCAGTATTCCTTAGAGGTGGCAGCTCAACAACAAACAGTAAGCATACTCCTGACCAGATAATCCCACTTGATCCACGCACCCTGGGATGCTATAAGACCGCTGGGCCCCCTCACTCTGATCTGCCCCCACAAATCGCCCAGGACCAGAGGAGCTTGCCCGAGCGTGATGGCCAGTCCAGGCGACTCGTCAAGCCAACGCTTCCCCGAATTGCGCGGGCCCCAGATGCCCTCCCATCTATATCCCGCGCTCGCCACAAACCGCGCCAGACCTCCACCTGAC